TGAGGGCTATGCCCTCATGAATGAATTAATCCACTCATAAATGAATTAATCCACTCATAAAGTAATGGATTAATGGATTATCATACGAGTAGACTGGTAGTTTTATAAGGAAAGGAAGAAGTACATTAACACACTCTTGCCCTCTCACCGTTTGATACCCTGCACTGCCTTGGTACTCTGGGGAGACTCAGCACTAAGAAGGCCCAAGTCAGATGTGGCCCCTTGACCTTGGGCTTCTCAAACTCCAGATCTGTAAGAAATAAATTTCATTTCTTCATAAATTACCAAGTTTCAGGTATTGTTAAAAGTAGCAGAAAACTGAGTAAGACAATGGGTATCATCTTTATTTTTTATATATTATTATATTATCCTCTGAATCTCTCTGCAGATTGAAATATTTCACAATTTTGAAATGGAAATTGGAAAAAATATTCTAATCACAATAGTGATAAAAGTATCATTCAAAATAGTGATAGCGGAAGTAACTTGGGAATGAATTAGTAAAAGCAGTAAAGGATCTTCATGAAGAAAATATAAAATCTTATTAACAGACCTTAAGTAAGTTTGGAACAAAAGGCATCTTTATTCTTGAATGAAAAGTCTTAGTTAAAATATAAATCTTATTAAAATATCAATCTACACAAAATTACTATGTAAATTTATAGCAAGTCCAATTCAAAGACACTCCCCACCTCTGAATAAAATGCCTTAAAGATCATATGGGGAAAAAAGTCTAAATATATCTGGTTAAAAGAATAGTCAGGCACCCTTCCCACCTTTTCTTTTTTTGTCTGGTGGTCAGTAGGGGGAAGGCACCCTTTATTAGACACTATAATGTACCATATTAAGCAGATGGACTTAAAGCAGTCTCAAATAGGCAATAAAACATTAAAATACCCAAGGAATAGAAGAGGATCAAAAAAGGGCTGAGTAAAAGTTAATATTCTAGTAAAAAATTTAACAGTAAAGCATAAAGTTGGGCCGGCCCCATGGCTCACTCAGGAGAGTGTGGCGCTGGTAGTGCCAAGGCCACGGGTTCGGATCCTATATAGGGATGGCCAGTGCACTCACTGGCTGAGCGTGGTGCGGACAACACTGTGCCGAGGGTCGGGATCCCCTTACCGGTCAAAAAAAAAAAAAAAAAAAAA